AAAAAAAAAAAAAAAAAAAAAAGAAAACCCTCCAAAAACAGAATCTCTCCCATCACTTACGTGTCACATAGAGCCCCTCCCTCTCTGTGTCACATAGAGCCCTCTCCTCACTCCATCTCTGTCTTGTAGAGCCCCTCCCTCACCTGCATGCCACAGACTCCCTCGTCTTAGCCACGAGTTACACAGAGCCCCTTGATGTGTCACTGTGAGGGAAGGTGCTGTCTTTTACTCATGTCCAAAGGGAGCACCTCTCTCCCATGTGTCGCATAGAATTCCTTCCTTCACCCTTTGTCCCCTCAAATCCTTTTCATGTGTCCCACCCAGTCCTTCTAATTTTGCATCAAAAGTGGCCCCTTCACACATCACATGGAACCCACCCCTCATCTGTGTGTCACACCCTTTACTCACCTTCATTCACATGGAGCCCCCATGTTGTGTGCAGCACCTCCCCACCTTGTGTCACACAGGGCTCCTGCCTTCCCTCCCCCTGTGTCACATGAGCCTCTCTTGTGTGTGACACCAAGTCCCTTTCCTGGTGCTGTGTCTGCAGGGACCCTGCCACCCCCTGCTATTGAGTGTGTCTCACAGAACTCCTGTCCCGAGGCCCTCATTCCCCATTTCCTCGCCCATGACCCTTTGTCCTGAGCCACACATGTCACCTGGAGCCCTGCAGGTCACACCTCCTACTCAGGTGTTATCCTAGGTGACTCCTTACTTTCTTGACCTGATCCAGTGTCACCTGGAGCCCTTGCCATATGCAGTGTCGGCAGCGAGCTCCTCTTCCTCCTGTGTTGTAAGAAGCCTTCCCTTGATCTTGGGTCACACGGAGCCCTTCCAGCTAATGTATCAGCCCAGGTCCCCCTCAGGTGTCAGAAACACAGAGCATCTGTCACTCATGTGTCCCTAAGCTCCACCCTTTCCTACGTCACTTCGGGCCCTGATTGCACAGCCCGGGGTCATGCTGAGTCCTCCCTCTGTTCCATTTCTCACCTACCCACTACCCAGCCCCTTCCCGTGTGGCCTGCAGTCTGTCCCCACACCCAGATTCCAGCGGAAACCCCACACCACTCTGGTCATGGTGCGCTCCTCTCCTTGAGTCCCATCCAGCACTTCTCCTTGTCACTCGGAGCACATCTTTGTGCCCCCGAGTCACACTGAATTGTGTTTGTCCTATTGAGCTTCTCACCACCTGTGTGTCACAAGGGGTGCCCTTCATTCCTGTGTCACACAGACACCTCCCTCGCCCACTGTTCTCGCTGTCCGTGTTACCACAAAAGCCTCCTTTGCTCGTGTGTCACATGGGGTGTCCCATTTCACCCCTTTACACACTGGCCCCTCTCCGTATCACCTCAGGAGCCTCCTTCACTCGTGTCACAGGCAGTGTCCCCTCCATCCCCGTGTCACCACCCCCACGTTGGAGTCCACCACCCCTGTGGACATGAGTCCACCCATGCTAAGGGTCTTCACCCATGTGTCAGAGAGAGTGTCCCTTCCATTCGTGTGTCACAGACTCCCTAGCCTCACACACTGGGCACCCTCATCCCTGTCACCCAGAGCTCCTCCTCCATACAGGGCCACATGGAGTGTTCCCTTCCTCTGTGTCATACACACCTCCCTCCCATCTGTGTCACCCCAAGAGCCTCCTCCATACACGTGTCACATGGAAGGTGCCCTTCATTTCGGTGTCACACTGGGTCCCTTCCCTCCCTCATGTCACCGGGACCCCTTCCCCTGTGCTATGGGTTATCCCAGCCCCGTGTGGCACGGGGCTCTTCCTCTTTTCTGTGTCTCAGGAAGCTTCTCCTCACGCGTATGTCATACTGAATCTCTGTGTGTGTCATGAAAAGTTCTGTCACATTTGGTCCCTCCTCTGCTGTGTCATAGAACCCCTCCTGCATGTGTCACACTGAGCACCTTCCTCTCCTTGTGACCTGTGGTGCCCCCTCCAAGTGTGCCACACATCTCTGCTCAGGCATGGGACCTTCTCAGGACCTGCGTGTGCCTGAGCCCCTGCCCCATGAGGTCACCCAGAGCCCTTTCTCCTCCTCACCCCATCAGCCCCTTCCCTAGGGCCTTAGCTCCTTCCCTGTAGGCTTCAGGCAACTTTGTATCACCAGGGATCCATTCCCAGGTGTTATCTACCACCTCCCCAGTGCCGGTCCCTGTGGGTGTGACAGTGGCTGGCCTGACCGGGACGCTGGTGGGGAAGGGGGATGCAGTGGTTGAGGGAGCTGTGCAGGGGCAGATGAGGCTTTTGGGGACAGGACCTCACAGAGACGCAGCCCACACCCGCGTGGTCCTTCTGAGGTGTACAGCGCCTGGGTCTCAGTTCGTTCATGGGTGTTGCTACTATACCCCACAGCCAATTGAGATCCTTCTTGCTCAGCAGCGCCCCTGCTATACCTCCCCCTCCCCGGCCTGTGCAACCCTGGTGCAACCCCTGGTGCTGCCTGGGAAGTGTACTTCCTGCCAAGCCCTAAAAGGGCTTGTGGTCACCCCACTCCAATGCCCAAGCAAGGCTGGCAGGCGACTGGGGGATGCTGCCCGTCCCTAGGCCCTGGGCCAGCACCCTTGGCCTCCCCCACGCCCTCTTTCTCCTGTCACCGGCCCTGGCTCCACTGTCTCCTGGGGTGGTTTGGGGGCCGTACAAGGCTCGGGGTCCAGCTGGAAGAGGCAGGCCAGGGTGGGGGTGGGTGCTGCCCAGTGCCTGGGCTGGCTGGCCTTTCTGTCATTGCTAACTGCTAGAAGCAGGCTTCCCACCTGCCTTCTGGGCGCTTGCACTGGGCTTTAGGGAGGAGGGTCACGGCCCATAGTCGGTAGTTGGGGGGTGGGAACGGCTTCATACAGGAGTTGATTGCACAGTTATTCAGCTCCTATATGATGCCTTTCTTCATCCCCTTCAACCATGAGCAGCCCCCGGACCCTCCTCTGCACCCTCGGCTGCACGGGACGTGTCCTCCAGCTTGCTGCTATCCTAGCATGCTCTGCGGGCTGGCTCTGTCTCTCTCCTTCCCACCCTGCCTCCCTATCCCTCTCCCCACAGCTTCCCAAGGTCCTGGAGGGGTGGGTCTAGGGCTGGGTCATCCCTGAGGTCCCCTCTTTGGAGGAAGGGCTATACCCCCAGTGGGACACACCCTGGGGCTGGGCGCAGGGTCCCCCTAGAACCCTGTGGCCCAGAGCAGGCTCTCCAGAGGCAGAGCCCTACCCACCTGGCTCCAGCTCACAGGACAGTGGGCAGGCATGAGAGAGCTGGTGCCCTGGGCAGTGTCCCTGAGGAGGGTCTCCTTGAGGGGTCTCGGCCTCTACCCAGGACCTTTTCATGACCAGGAGGCTGAGGCCCCTCATAGGCGGCTGCTTACTCTCTCCTTCCAGAGATCCCCGTCTGCCCCACACCCCTCACCCTGGGTCTCCAGCAACTGTCCACAGGCACCCCATTCTTCCTCTTGTGTCCTTGCCCAGGCTGGTGCTGCCCGGAACCAGTGACAGGGGTGGCAGCGGTGTTGTGCCCTCTGTCTCTTGTCTCCCCCACCCACGCAGGCCCTGCATGGCGGAGGGGACCTTGCTGTCATTAACCGCAGAACCAGCCACAGCAGCCAGCCCAGGCAAAGAGGGGCACTGGGTGGGGTGGCCTAGCCTGCTTCGTGGAGCCATTAGGGTGGTCGAGAGGCAGCCTGTTTCCTTCCCTGGTCTCCCCAGCCCCTCTCAACCCCTCCTTACCTGCTCCTTACCCTGCGGCTGACAGGGTGGGCAGAGGCGGGAGGAGGCTGGATGGCCGGGGCTGGGGGCACATGATATGTGTGTGGGGTGTGCTGAGCATACCCAGGACCTGCGTACCCATGGGCGAGGGGTGAGTGCCGGCTTCCGTGTCATCTTGCTACTTTTCACAGGGAGCAGACCAGGTCCCTGGGTGGGCACAGAGGGGACCTCCTGCCTCTGCTCTGGCCAGATTCTCAGGGTTTGGCAGAGCTCCTGGCACAGGGTCCCTATTGCAACCTGCCTGCCGGAGGGACGCCGGACGGAGGAGCAGTAGCCTGGGCTGCAGGTGAGTGGTGGTGCTGCGGGTTCAAGAGATACCTTGGTGCGTGCCCAGCCCAGGCGATGGGCCTTCAGGTCAAACTGAAGGGTGACTGAGGCAGGGTGACCCGTGGGTCTCCCAGGGGTCACTCGGACTCTCCCTGGCTGCTAGGCATTGTCCAAACTGGCTAGGTGTCTGGCTTGGGTGGGGGACTCCAGGTCTCACAGTGGAAAGCAGTGGCACTGTGCGTGGGAGCTGGTGGGTGGCAGCCTGCTGGGCAGAGCAGTCACAGGCTGTGCTGTACTTTCTCTCTACTTTCCTTTAACACCAACTTTTCTTTCTCCTTCCCTTCCCCTTCTTTTTCAGGAGAAATAAGGTTTGTGCTGTGTCTTTTAAAAACTTTTTCTCCCCAAGAAGATAGGGACAGACTAACCTGCTGCTTCTATCTGGTCAGCCGGCTCCTGGGCCTGCGGACAGAGCCCTGTGGATGGAGACCTGTGGGTGGACAGGGCTGGTGGTGCCACAGTTGGCAGGTGCTCCGTGGGTGAACATGCTCGCCTTTGGGGTGTGAACCCTCTGCAGGGCGGGCTGGTGTTGAGTGACTGCTCCTCTGGCTTTAGCCTGTGAGGTGGTCCCATTTTTCTGCCTTCTGCGGCCTGGCAGGTAAGGCTGGGTCCTAGGCGGGGGGCGCAGTGCTCTCCCTCCCCCCCTCCCAAACCAGGGGCACCCTCTGGGCCCCCAGGTGTGGCCTTCATGGGACCCAGGTTGGAGTCTCAGGACCTGGATCGTCCCCACCCCAGGGCTCAGCCTCCACCCACTGGAGGCCAGGCAAGGTGTCACAGTGATTAGAGGGGCAGTGAGGTGAACCCCACCCTCCCTGAGTCACCCAGCGAGGCAGGAGTGGGGGCCCTCCATGACGAAGTCACCAAGGGTGGTGCTCTGTAGCCTCAGGCCATGCTGCCTATTGGGGCTGCTGTTGGGGTGAGCACAGGGGGTCAGGTGGGGTGGGGGCCTCAGGCCCCTGGGGCCTCTGTGATGCCAGCAGTTGTGGGAGTTCCTTGCTGGGCCCGCGATCCCAGGTGGCACAGATGGTGTGCAAGGGTGAGAGGGCAAAGGCCACCAGGGAGGGGTCCAGCTCCAGCTCTGTCCTCAACTGTCTGCAGTCCTCCCTGGGCCTTGATGTCCCCAAATTCTCTCTGGACGTCGGAAAGCCCTGGTGGGTGGGGTGAGTGGGAACTCCGTGAGTTCGGTTGGCGACTTTCTGAAGCAGCAGGGCAAAGCCCAAGGTGAACCTGAGCCCCTGACTTGAGCCCTGAGATCCTGACCATGATCTCTGGGTGCTGTGTCGGGGGTAGAGTCTTCAGATAGCCAGGTGTGTGGTGGGTGGCAGCTAGCCACCCCTAGGGTCTCGGTATTGGCCTGAGGCTCCTGGGAGAATGGTTCGGTAGGAAGGGTCAAGGTGTGACTGGGTTCTCAGGCTTGATGCTCCCAGGCACAGAGGAGGGTCCTCCCCCAGGCTCCGCTCCTGCTGGGCGGGGTGGGGAGAAGACCCAGGGACAGGTCCTGGGTGTCCCCAGCACGTGAGGTCCCTGTGTGTGTGTGTGTGTGTGTGTGTGTGTGTGGTTGGGCAGGCTGGGCACACTCTGGGAGTGCAGGGGTCACCCCCAATGGTGATGTGGCCTGGCAGGGGTGAGCACATGCGGGACTGAGGAGTGGTGGCCCACAGTGCATGTCACTGTCCCTGCTTCCCCGACTTGGGGTGGGGGCCCTGGGAACCCAGGCCTTCTTCATAGGGGGCAAAGTGAGGCGATTTCTGGAGCCCAGGCTGGCAGAGCAGCCTGCCCACGCCCTGTCTCTCCTGTGATGAGAAGGCTTGGGCCAGAGGGCACTAGGATTCTGGGTCCCCTCTCTCAGGCAGCAGCAGCTGGGTCCCATTACCCTTGAAAGCCCCCTTGGGATGAGCTTGGAGCGGCCAGCACCCAAGTCCATGTAGGAGTGGGGTGGCTTCCCTAGGGGTAGGAGGCCTCTGGGGTCTTGAGGGCGACACCTTCAGAGGTGCCCGATGGGCCTGCCCTGCCGCCCTCCCACCACCCTCTTTTCCCCTCGACCCCAATCTGTCCCCTCCCCTGCTTGTCCACCCCACCCTGCCCCATCTTTTAGAGCAAACCACGAAGTCAGATACTCTTGTTTTGCTTTATTTTAGGGGTGAGAAAAGGTAGGGATGGGAAAGTGCAAGGCAATAAGCGGGGTTCTGGTTGGGGCACCTTCGGCTCCCTGGTGTGGGAGGCTGGCGTCTGGCGCCTTCACAGTCTCTCCTGGGTCCCCTCCCTCAGTGCTGGCTTGAGGCCATGCAGTGTCCAGTGTCCGTGGTGGGAGGGGAGGGGCACGGCTCCCCCTCAGTTCAGCCACCCATGGGGAGTCCCAGGGTCTCGGGGAAGTCAGGTAAGTGGCAGTGGCACGTCGGACGCTCTGGAGTGGCAGTCAGGTAAGACCAGAGCTCAGGGTCAGATGAAGTCTGTGAGGAGGGAGCTTAACTGGATAGTAGGGTGGGATTGCTTGTGGGGTGGGACGGATGGAGGGGTTGGGGTGGGGCCCAGGGGAGCAGGAACACCAAGGTGGAGGTAGAAGAAGCCCGTGGAGCACCCAAGGTCAGTGTCCCAAGATGCACTTGGGTGGGGGTTCCAGCATCTGCTTGCTTGGCTGCACCTACTGTGCTGCTGCTGCCGCTGCTGCTGCTGCATCCGGCCATGGGTCACGGGGTCATCTCTGCTCATCCTTGCGCTCTCCTCTCTCTGAATCACTCCCAGTCCCAGGCCTGGGACCTGGAGAATTAAGACGGGGCTGTGTGATAGCCCTGAGCTAGCTCTGGGTCCTTTAGCACAGATGGTGGTGAAGTTTTGCCCTTTACAGGTGGCTCCCCCTTGGGTCAGGACTGGCAGGAAAGGGCATTGGGTCTACGTGAAGCTGGCCAAGGTGCAGGGAGGCAGCAGAGAGGCTGGCAGTTGCTGGGTCACGGTAGGAGAGGCCTCCGGGTTGGGAAGGAGGCATCTCAGTCGAGGGTATCATCATCTTCGACAGCCTCATCTTCTTCGAGGTCAGGCAGCTCTTCCAGGCTTGCCCCTCCCTGGGACGGGGTGTGTGCTGCTCGCGTGTAGATGGCGGTGAGGAACTGAGTCAGGGCCTGGGCCACCTGCTCCCTGCTGAGCAGGCTGAGCCGGCCATCAGGGCCGGGCACATAGAGCAGGCGGCTGTTGAGGATGTCGAGGACTTCAGGGTCCATCAGGCTGCGTGGGCGGAGCGGGGCCTCGGAGGGGGACAGGGCTTCCTGCACGTCGTTGTCCTGCGCGTCCTGCGAGGTGTCTTGCAGGCCGTCATGCAGGCCACACTGACGGTAACGTTGCAGGTCGTCTTGCAGGGCTTCTCGCAAGACGACATCCTCATCTCCAACGACGTGCAGTTCCAGGTAGTGGGGCTGGGACAGGGCAGGGGCACCGCGCTCTGTGCGCGTGGCCCTGACACCAAAGAACTCACAGAGCAGTAGCCAGAAGCCAGGGCTGAACCGCAGGCCCCGAGGGGGCAGCTGGTTCAGGGCGTTATGCTGCCGGCGCTGGGAGCCCAGGATGAGGTCGGCCAGCTCTCGGGGTGGGATAGGGTTGGCGCCCACGAAGGGTGGCATCTGGCCAAACAGCTGGGTGAGGGCGGCAGCCATGCTAGCGCTCACGGTGAGGGTAGGATCCAGGAGGAGGCGCTGGGAGTGCCGCGGCTCCAGCCAGGCCACCTGCAGGGGAGGGGCGGGCAGCAGCGTGGGTCGCTGCCTCGTGTCTAGCATCACAAGGAGGGACGCGGGCGCCAGGAGGCTCTGCCAGTGCAGGAGCCCCCGGAAGAAGTGCAGCACGACCGACCGGATCTGGGCCATGCTGAAGTTGGCCAAGAAGCTGTTGAAGATGTGATCGATGGGTATGAGGGCAAGGAGCTCCTGCTGTAGGTTCAGCTCATTGAGCTCATCCTGCTCGGACAGGTTGTCACTCTCCTCAGATTCAGAGTCGCTTGTCTCATCCGGGAGGCAACCCCTCGTGGCTAAGAAAAGGATTGGCCGAGCGACCCTGTTCCTGAGGGCTCTCTGATTGCAGCTTCTCCAGGCTGGCGGGGGCCAGCTGCCATCCAGCACTGGCAAGTCCATGACATCAAAATTGAAATGAGAGAAGAAAAAGACCCAATGCCCGGGGAGAAGTACGGTGAGCCTGTCATTATTCAGAGAGGCTAGATCCTCTGTGTTGAGAAGGATCATGATGGGCTCCTCGGTGTTCTCCAGGTAGCGGCACCACACCATGAAGGAAGCCCGGATTGGAAGGACCTTCATCTCCACTAGAGGGTAGTCGACCTCCATAGGGGACAGGTTTCGGGAGTAGAAAGCGCAGGTCACCGTCTTGCCAGTGTGCTCATCAACTTGGATCAGGGAGGTGTACAGAGCAGAGGTTGAGATGCCAGTCTCCAAGTAGAATGGGTTCTGGGGCTTAGGGTGGTGGAGAAGGGGTGCCCTGCGGAACGCCCTCTTCAGGCACTCCAGGGCCTCCTCCTCCTCGTCCCCCCAGTGGAAGCGGTCAAAGCTCAGCAGCAGCTGCACCAGCGGCTCTGCGATGATGGCGAAGCGCTCCACGAAGTGGCGGTAGGGGAACATGAACTCGATCATGCTCTGGAGTTCCTTCCGGGACCTAGGGGTAGAGTAGCCCACAATGACGTCTATGACGCCCTTGTTTATCTTCACCCCTTTGGGGGTCACACGGAAGCCCAGGATCTCACCGCAGTGCCGGTGGAACTGGCTCTTGGTCAGGGAGCAGTAGACACGGTGGTGTCTGAACCGGACCAGCACCTGGCGGACGTGCTGGATGTGCTCCTCCTGACACATGGAGTAGATCAGGACTTCCTGCCCATAAGAGAGCACAAAGAAGCCTAGCATGTCCTTCAGGATGAAGTGGAGCACGTTCTGGGGTATGATAGGGTCCGAAGAGAGAGTAAAGGGCTGGTAGCTCTTCATGTCTTGCACTTCTAAGCCAAATGCTGCTCTCCATGTGTCTTCTGTCCGGCTTCCGTTCACGCCTTCTTCCGCAATGGTCCCCCGCAGCTCCAGTCTCGTAAACCATGTTGCTCCGTGTAACTGGTCAAACAGTTCCGGAATCATCTGTATGTAGTCCTGTCTGTCAGTCAGCATGTCATGCAGATCCCAGTACTCTTCCTGCAGCCTGGCTTCCTCTTGCATCCTGGCACCCACAGGTTCCCAAGGCACGGTGGAGGGACACTCGTAAAAGATCTCGCTGTGATCACTGTCTCCAGCCTGCTGAAGCTCAGAGGGCTCTGATTCAGAAAGATCATCGGATCCGTCTGAGCTTGGCTGGTCGGAAGTCTCATCATCTGCTTCCTTCGGGTTAAACACGTCGGCCAGGTCTGAATAGGGGTGCGGCAGTCCGGGGAGCAGGCTCACGCTGTGTCGTTCCAGTACGATGCATGGTGGGGGTGGGCTGAAGCAGTTCTTCAGGCAGTAGGGAGAGTGGAAGGTGCAGCGGCCTTGGATCCAGTCGACATCGGGGGAGTGGAGTCTGAGCCAGTTGACACCCAAGACCACAGAGAAGTTAGGTGAAGGTATGATGTCAAACTCAATGGACTCCTGGTGATTCTGATGCATGCACACCAGGGGTTCGGTGTAGAGCCACACAGGTTCCTGGCCGATCAGAGAGCCGTCCACAGTGTGGATCTCCTCCGGGTAGGGCTTCTCGTACAGCTCCACGTAGTGCTCTTGGGCAAAATTCTCATCCATGAAGTTGCCTTCGGACCCCGAGTCCACCAGAGCTTGGACCGCAATGCTATGGTAAGGATTCACCCTCACCAGGAGCAGCAGGAAGACATGGGCGCGGTTGATGCCTGGGTGGAATGAATAGGGCAGCCAGCTGCTCACCGTCCACTTCTCTGAAGCAGGTGAGTCCATCAGGCTGCGTGGGCGGGACTCGGGAGGCAACCTGAGCATGGCGCTTCTCTCTTCCAGCTTGTCTTCTATCTGCAGGATGAGGACAATCAGGCTGTCCAGGGAATCCGGCTGAGGAATCCGGAACAGAAAATGCCTGATTTCCTCACTGAGCCCCTGGCACAGGTGGGCCTGCAGGACTTCGTCTGGCCAGCCCAAGGTGGGTATGAGGCTCTGGAACTCAGTGATGTACTCAGTGGCAGTGCGATTTCCCTGCCTGATATTGAACATGGCCTCCTCCACCACACGCCGTGTGTACTTGTACTCAAACACTTCTGACATGGCCTCCAGGAAGGCTGAGAAGTTTTCCAACACGGGACTGCTCTGCTGGATCAGAGATTCAGCCCATTCCAGGGCGAAGCCAGTGAGGTGGTCGATGACATACTTCACGCGCAGGTGGTCGCTGCAGAATGTTGTTGGGTAGCTTTGCAAGATCATCTGGCAGAGCACGATGAACTCGTAGTATTCTCTGCGGTCACCGGAGAAGGGCTTCGGGGAGGGCAGTTGGCCAGCATTGATCCCCTGAACCAAGATCTCCTCTGCTACTCTCTGTTGTTCATTGAGGTCTTGCATCTGGAAGTAGAGTGAGATGATGGACCTCATCGTGGCCCTGATGTCTTCAGAAGGGCCCTCCGTCTGGGTCTCCTCTTCAAGGCTCGTCCCTCCCGATGCCAGGTTAGTCTTGTCATCTTGGTCTTCCTGGGATCCCGATGGGTTGACCAATGTTTCTTCCGTCCCATCAGATGCTTCATTGAGTGAACCCTCCATTGCCTGGTGAGAACCATTGCATGACTCCTCCATGTCTTGGAGTAGGTCATTGGGTGGATCCTCTATTTCCCTACATGGGCCACTGGATGGCTCCTCCATGTCTTGGAGTAGATCAGTAGGCAGCTCTTCTATTTCCTGGCCAGAGCCACTGGGGGGCTCCTTGCTTTCCTGGGCTGGGCCCTTGGCTGGCCCCGCCTCCTCCTGCTCTCCGCTGCCCTCGGTCTCCACAGCGGTGTTGGATGAGCCCTCAGAGGACTCCATTTGTTTTGATGATGGATTCTTACGCTCCATCATCGTCTCAAATGAGTCTTCAGAGGGTTCTATCATTTCGTCGGTTGGAAGGAGAGTTTCCTCAATATTGGTAAGGTCGCGTTGCATCTGGTCAGCCATTGGGACCTCGGAGGTGTGGAGATCAGAACCTGGGAGCAGAGAGGGAGGGGTGAGGAGTGAAGGCAGCAGGCTAGGGTCTAGAGGTCAGGGTCAGGTTCTCAAGAACAAATCAGCTGTTCAAAACAATCAGATGTCTGGTTTGGAGTTATTTGCACATTTGTTTTCCGTGGGCCTGAGCAAATTAAGCTTCGACTATTCAATAGATTAGCTATACAGTTATTGTGCTCTATAAATTTAACACCTTTTGCTATTTCTCAGTGTTTTTCTTAAAACCACTATGCTGAGCTATAAGAAAAAAATGCACTCCCTTATGTAAAACTACTCGTTGGCTAAAATCCAAACCTTCCAGCAGGATACAAAATTCAGATCTGCTGTTTCTCAAAATAAGTACACCCTTGTTAGCATGACACTTAAATTTGACCATGCAGTCCTTCTGATTAAAGCTTTCAGTGTTTATTTACTGTCTGCAATATTGAATCCAAACCTTTCAGAATAAACATATATGACATGTAAACTCACCAAAACCATTCTCTGGCTAAAATGTAAAGGGTTTAGCATAATACAGAATTCTGACATATCTTTTCCTATGGTAGAGATCACATTTTTTTTTTTTAGCGTGGTACAAATTAGGTATAATCATCATCATCATCATCATCATCATCATCACAGAAACATGCATGACACATTGAATAACTCATTTTTCTCTTCATAAAAGTCCTCTAAGGTAGGTATTATTTTAAAATTTCAAGTCTCTAATATAAAACTCCAGTTGAACTACAAAATTTGTCTGAGTAAGTCATCTGTGGGCTCATCGATCACAAAAATCTCAGCATGTCGGGCGCTTAAAAATCTTTATTGGCTAAAATTTAAATTCCTTAGTAAGGTAACTAAAAACTCATATTGTACACCTTCTTAACATAATTAAGTCTATACTTCATAAGGGATTTACGAATTTGATACACAAATGATTAAATCTTTCACCTTTCCCTCCTTCAACCTAAAATCTACCATCCATGGTGGATTATAAAAATTTCATTTTAATACTTCTTAACATCAAACTTTAAATTTTAGCAGAACAAATAAAAAATGCCATAATCTCTCCATTTACAGCATATAAAACCTCCTCTTCTTCCTTGCCTATAACAGGAAGTTCCAGACGTTTAGGATAAAATAAAAATGTTTACCATGCAATTGATCTACCAGTCAATCAACCCAAAGTCCACAACCTCAATAGGCTGCTCCTAAGGACCTTGACTGGCTTTAATTCCAAACCTTTTAGCATGATATAAAAATTTGGCCATGTTATTTTCTTAGCATAAAAGGTCACATTTCTCGCCATGTGCATGAATTTGCTGTTGTAACTTCTGCCTGGTGCTTTATGTCTCTGAATTACCTATGAGATAAGGTCTGAACCATTAGTATAAAATGATACATTTTACTCCCTAATTTCCCTTCAGACTGCTCTGACCAACAAAAACTACCACATTACTCTGTGAAAAATCTCTTAATGGCTGAAATCCAAATTCCTCTGCATGGCATAAAAATGCAGACTGCGGTTGTTCAGAATCGTGCGAATTTCTGAGCGTGCTCTGTGAATTTAACCCCGGCTTCTGTCTTTGTGTGGGCCTTGAGTGCCCCGCCCCTCCGCCCAGCACCGATGGTGCCCTGTGCCAAGGCTGTGTCCCGCTGCGGAGCAGTCAGTGCTCACTTATTACCCAGCTCAGCAGATACCGACCCCTTAGCACAAAGTGTGTTTTACCATCTAATTCCTCTGGAGACAAAACTCTCGCCATTGCACACCTTAAACTCGGCTGGCTAAACTCCAAACACCTCCTCAAGCGGGTTCAAAATGATACCATCCTCACTCTTCAAATCGGAACACTTGTGTCCCACAAATTCTAATCATGTTATCTTCACCGTAAACTTTGACTCTCAGCCGAGCTCAGTGCAAACAGTGGAATACGAGACACCTCACTTTAGAACTTTCAAAGTTCTTCATTGACTGATACATATAAAGTCTCAAGTACTTGACCTAAAATGCAGCTTTTTACCATGTAATGCATCACCAGGCTGCTTCATAAAAAACTCCAGATCTTACCCTGTCACTCTTTTTTTTTTTTTTTTTTTTTTTTTTTTTTTTTTGGTGTTTTTGAGACAGGGTCTCACTATGTAGTTGAGGCTGACCTGGAATTTACTATGTAGCCCAGGCTGGTCTCGAACTCACAGCAATCCTCCTGCCTCAGCCTCCCGAGTGCTGGGATTACAGGCGTGAGCCACCACGCCCGGCACCCTGTCATTCTTTTAAGCCCTTTATTCTCTTAAATCCAAACTCATGAGCATGATCTAAAATAGATCATGTTAGCCCTTAAAATAAGATTCGCACTCCCTAGTACAATATATTAAACTTTATCTTGTAATTGTACCTTAATTCTACCTACAGTGTCTCGTAATTGTGTGTGGCATACAAGACCAGATTCTTTGCATTAAAGTATGCATTTTATTTTGCTATTTATCAATCATAAGAAACCTCACTCTGTCACTCTGTTAGAACTTTTTATTGACTAAATCAAATCCCTAATCAAATCCCTAGGCATGTGCAGGGATTGCATCTTGTTCCAATCTCTAACTAAACTCCAAATATTTCTGCATATTCACATGATCATGTGACAGCTCTGGTGAGATCCTTTCAGTCACATCTCCTTGGCATGCCCAGCAAATCAGACTTTGGCATTTCCCCATCATACAAAGTCAGAATGTTTTGGTGCGATCTTTAAATTTGTGGCTGTTCCTTTACTATTTACAATCTTTCCATGTTTCCCTGTTGCTTGTAATATAATGTCCAACGCTGTTAGTCATAAAATATATTTTATTGTGTTTTCCTACAGGCTTACCTTCCATAACCAAAAGTGTCACCATCATATTTCTCAAACCCTTTAGTGAAAATCCAAACCCTGTAGCATGAGACAAAATTCTGCTCCTGTCACCCCTTGAAAAGTCCAGATTTCTTCCCGTCAAGCCCAAATCTATTTGAGCAATGCCTGCTTCAAATCTTTAAATGTAGATTTATCATCCACAAAAGATCTCAAGTGTATTTCCCGGGTAACCAGATTAACTGTGCCTTTCCCAACTTCAGACCTTTCCGGTTTCATGCCTGAGATGTAAAATTAAAATGCCTGAGCGTAAAGTGGAATTTAGCGCAAGTGTATCTTGTGTTGAAAATCTTTAGGTTGCACTTTATTTCTTGCAAGATAAAGCTTAAATCCCTTTGTGTGAAAATACAATTTTTAACTTGCAGGTTCAGTTGCTTATGCCTCCTCAGGCTTTTCTCTAGAGAGACTGGATTTCTCATCCCCTTACCCCACACACATCTTGATTTGATTGTTTCCAGATATTTTATTTCTACTTGTGAAAACCGGTAATTCATCACTTCCTACAGCAACACATCTCCATTCTCTTTCTGGGCCAGGCATGGAGCTAGAACCCGATGTAAAGAAGCACAGGTGGCCCAGCCCTGCCCTGCCCCGTGGCCTGGTCAGTGAGGAGTCAAGGCCCATGAGGTGAGAGCGGGACTTGGGTAGGACGAGGGTCCCTCCGAAACTCCTGTGAGGCTCAGCCCCAGCATGCCCTGTGAGTGGGCTGTGGTTTAGGGCCCTCAATGGGTTCCCCATGCAGCCTTTGTCCAAGCAGCCCACCTCGCCTCTCTTCTGGGCCTGCAGAACACTCAGTCCCGAAAGGTTGTTTCAAACCTCAGGACAATTTCTTTGAGAGATGCTGCTAGTGCTTTGGAAATTCCTATCTTGCCCCAAAGAAAGGGAAGAATCTGGACTTAGTGTTTGGGATCACAACTTCCCTTCAGGCCTCTGATGGGACTTCCTCCCCCGCAACACTCAGATAGTCACCCCAGCCTCACCACCGCCAGTGCCCGAGCTGCGGTCAGGTCAGCTCCCTGCGTGCTTGTGAGCAAGTGGCCCAGGGGTCAGAGCTGCCAACGTGCTGGGTGGGAAGCAAATCCCTCTGTGAATACCTCTCTGTGTACAGTGAGGAAAATCTGATTTTAAAAATAGAGCTTGGAAGCAGAGATGAGAGGATATTTAGGAGCAGAGTTGAGCATGGGGCATGGGGCTTGGGGTGGGGGGTGGAGGATTTAGGGGAGAGGTGAGGGCAGGGAGGGGGTGGAAGGTCCCCAGGTCCCCAGGAGTTGGGCAGGAAGGTAGAGCCAGTGCAGCGGGGAGGGAAGTGAGGGTGACAGGTGACCCCTCCGGCACATGTCTACGTCCCCTTAGGCACCCATGGGTCACCGCTGGAGCCCCGGGCTGCAAGATGGGTGTCAGGTGTGTTCCCCTGTGGTGCTGGCCTCCCAGGGGATGCTCCAAGCTACCTGAGTGTGAGGTCATGGGGGCTTAGTGGCCTTGATGCACAGACCCGGATCTGCTATCCCTCACCCTGCACTGGGCATGCGTGGGAGCAGAAGCTGCAGGACGGGTGGGCATGCCAGGGCAGCGCCAGGGCCACAGGTCATCAATGATGTATTTTGTCAGGCAGATGTCACAGGTCCCCCCCCCAGCATCCTCACCTTGCCCATCCAACTCTTGGCTTGTGCCTAGGTTTGAGTCAGCCCCATGGGTGGGAGAGCCTTCATGGCCTCACCTGAGGGAGCTCATCTCTGAGTGGCATCCTTTCCTGGTGGCCTGCATGGAATCCTTTTGCATCAGGCCCCTGTGGGCCTTGGGCACCATCGTGGTAATGGGGGAAGTGGGCTCAGGGGCAGGGCTTACCAGAGGGGTCCCCAGCCCTCACTTCCCTTATGCCCTGACTAAGGGCAGTGTGTGTGTGACCTAGTCAGTGTCCCTGCCCTCTACTTCTGAGTGGCAGTTCCAGGGGCAGCTGCTTCACTCTGTGCCCAGAATAACCCTGGGAGGCGGGGAGAGAGAGGTGCCTTCAGGAGGGGCCCAGAGGGTCACAGAGGAATTGGGGCTCTTCTCTCTGGGCTGCCCAATTGCAGAGCCAATCAGCTGCTCCT